TAAATATCATCTGCAACGTAAGATGGCATTCAAGGGTTATTCCTAAGACGAGGAAACACGCTAATCTGGATAGAACTACTCCTATATAAAAATACTTATATTCTACGAACAATCTCACAGGGGTAAAAATGAATTCTGTCCCTCTATATTGAATCATTCGTAACTCTAGTTGAAATAGACTTTGGTACATTAAAATATCAACGTTCTTAATCTCTGATCAGGTCTCTATTACAATGTATCTACGCGCATAACTCGAGTCTCAACTTAATAGCCATTGCCTAATGCATCTATGCGAGCTATTGGTAGCCACCAAATTTTGCTGATTATTCTTCTACTATTACTGTAATTATTACACTTATAGTTCGTTAGGATAACGACAATACAACGATATACAAACTTCGTATATACATATACATACGTTGCAATGGCCATCGGGTTAGGGGCTCAGGTTATATAACGTACCTATAGATTCATCGTAACGAAGGCCAGGTCGAGAACCTAGAACATATAAAAACAAGACGATTAGATATTTCTACTTAAAGTTACAAAGGATTATCGAACAAAAAAAGTGCACAGAACTAATTCCTACGCCTAATACGTTCCCCTACTAAACGCACAAAACTTCTCCCGAACCGATCCACGGCGATAAATTCGTGAACGACCATGAATACATTCCACCCCCAAGCTGGTTCGACTCCTTAAGAAGAAGTGGCAGTAAAAGCGGCGAGGGCGACTCCAGGGGGTTACCAAACGCGGCTTGACCGAGTAACAATCAAATAGGCTAGCCGTCCGCGTGACTAACCCGTTGCCGTTGCTGCAGCTGCTCGCGAATTATCGATTCGCGAAAATTTCCCTTCGTCCATGGGACATGCGCGCGCGGGCAACGCGCGCGGCGGCAATACTCTCGACCCACGAGTTCGCAGGAGAGACCGAGAGAGAGTGAGAGAGGCGGAGAGCACGCAACGAGAAATGTCCTTGGCGTAGGATACGCCTTCGCGCGTATGCGTAGATCCGTGCGCGAGGAAACGTGCTCGCTCTGGATACCTACGACGCGGTACATGCGCCCTTGTGTCTTTAATGTCGCATCATCGGCAGGTATAGTCGCTGGAGGAGATATAGCCAGCCACCCGGGACGACGTAAAATTCAAAACAATCGTTTCGGATAATCCGTCCCGAGTAGAATCGTGCTTGTACGACGTGCGCGCGTCTGGGAGGGTCAAGAACGGAGCAATGCTTGCGATTTTTTTTTTTCCGGTCGAACGGTCGTACGGATCGAACGATGATTTTTGGGGGTGTACGCGCGTTTCTCTAGGGAGTCGTTCCGCGGCGAGTTTGTTAGAAAATGTTTGCAATCGTCTGAGATGTGACAACGTTAGAATGTAGGTTCGAAGAGGCGCTTTTGAAAGGATCGAAAGTAGGCCAACGCGCGACATTTTTTTTTCGCTCAGGATTATTAAATTTAGCGAATTATGATTTTTAGTATTCCTAGGTAGGTTTGTCGAGAGTAGTTTGAGGGTGAGTTTATGAGGAAATGTTTTAGAGTGGTCGAGATACGTCAGTCGGTGTCGTGGCATGTTTTATCTGTAGGGATGGTTGCCGGTTTAAGGGGCATTTGCTCCCTGGAGTTACACACGTCCTTGCGTCTTTAATGTCGCATCATCGGCAGGTATAGCGAGCCACCAGGGACGACATAAAATTCGAAGCAATCGTTTTGTCTACCTGGCGTCGAGTGAGATCTTGATTTAAGAGGCATGTACACCTGGGAGGGCGATGCTCGCCATTTCTTTCCAGTTGAACCACTAAATATCCACCACTACCACTAAATCAAATGAGGACTTTGGGCATTTATAAATGCACCTTTTTAGACTAATTCGACGGCTGTAGTATAAAATGTTTCTTAGGGACCGAGATATGGCTGTCAAAGTCGTGGCATGTTTCCACGTCAAAGTGTGAAAATAATCATAGTATGAAAACTAATTATTCCATACTTTTCCAGTAGCTAGGGTACCTCGGGATCGCTAAGCCCGTACTGTAGCTGCGTAGTCACATGCTACAGCCCCTGAGGGTTGAGAGAGAAGGCATCCACCTTTATTCGATTGTTTCATTTCTTTTTTTCTGTTGTTCCGTTCACTTAGACCCTTCTTCATGCCTCGCCTGGATAACGACTTCGCCGTGTCTATTGCAACGACTATACGTTTCCGCCGGCACACGATTGCACCGACCGTGTTTTTCGAATCTCCGACAAATCCCCCCGATTCGAGGCACGCCGCGAGGATTTACGACGCCGGTTGGGGGGATGTTCGATGCACCCTTAAGGAATCTTCTCACTTTAAACGATTCAAAATAGGGAATTGTTTCTTTGGTTTATTTTTCAATCGGTGGTATCGATGAACCCCAGTCAGAGGTTATTTCTAAAATACTTAAGTCACGTAGGATTAAAATGTAAAGGTAATGTTTGAATTTATTTTCATTGGAAGAAACTTACCAAACCATTCACCGGTTCTCTTTTGTATAGCGAAAAATATGTAAATCCTCTTCCTCGATACAACGATTCCATGGCGTTATATCGAGGAATTCCTGTAATTGGCTCGAACAATTTTTTCCCAACGTTTCTATCCGTTCAGCGGGCTGGAGGCGATCCTTTCTCTATCGCGTTCGTCTGAAAAATTCAATCGACGGATCCAAAATACGGGAAACACGGTTCGTTTTCGTCCCGAAATAAACCAAGACCCGATCAAGTATTCCGCAATCGAATATACAATTCCTGCCAGTGTCGAGTATTTCTATTAGCGAGCCCCGAGGAAACGAATCCCAAAGAAACGGAGTGCACTCTGGTCCGTTGGCGAGGAGGCTGCAAAATAATGCAGGCCTCGCGGAGGCCCTGGCGTTTAACGCGTAGCCGGATGGAAAACCTGTGTATCTTTCTCGGAAACGAGCAGATAGTCTTTCAATTTAGGAGTACATAACAATTAATTTAACCGTCGACGCTGTATTTGGTTCTCTTTAGAAGAGGGTAGGCCTCCCCGGTTGCACCTTGGGCTGCTGCAGCCTGCGAGGGAGGTAGCTGCAGCTTACTACCGCTAAGCCACTGTTAATCGCGCTAATCTCATAGAACGATAATGAACTAACCGAATGTACAGAATCCGCGCACGAGTTAGTAGCTGTGCCGACGTGTATTCGTTTCATAATTCAAACTCGAATTTCGATCGAGCGGTACAAGGGCAGGGAATCATTTTCTACGTCTAAGGATCGTCAAGTGTGTTCGTCCTTTCATTACCTACGATACTGTAACAATGAGACTGCGGATCTTCATGGATTCATAGAAAATTTGAATGTGCAAAGAACTACAAAATGCAACAATGTCCAAGACTATTTAGGTTCAATTTTTATAGGCTAAGGAAGATTTTATTTTGGATAAAGATCCGCAGTCTAGTATATAATGAAAACACACTCTCCAAGTTAAAGTAATATTTGCGGTGGTCGCGTTAACTGGAACACCCTGTAGGAGAATACCACCTCCGTCGGTTTAGCCCCGGGGTGCCCCGAAACAATAGTCCATGCCTGGCTGAAGGCGTCCTTGTCTGCCTGTCTTCCCGTCTCTCGGACTAAAAACAACGGTACACACGCCGCCGGTTGCCTTCTGCCCCGCGCAGACCGCCCCCGCCTTCCACCACTGTCGGCGACCGTCGACTCCGCCACGTCCTCCCACCCTCTCACTCTGTTTCTCGCCGCTGCCCTGAAACCCCACCCCGATATACCCTTCGCGTCTACCCTCGAACGATTCCCACCGTGCACGCCTCGATTCTCGCGGAACACTCTTTCGTCACCGTCATCCTCCCGCTCTTCCGTTCGCCGCTCCTCTGCTCGTCGTCTCCTGTCGCTTCTTGGGGACACGAGAGGAGCAGAACGGCGGCAGAGACGGCGGGAAGGGAAGGCTGCGAGCGGGGAGAAGGGTGGGCGGCCTTTGTCGCACGTAGAGGGATAAAAAATCGGCCACCCGGAACCCAGGATGATTCCCATCGCGCTAGGGTATAGCCGCGGATGTATGGATTCGGCTACGTCCCTCCGAGATTCGAACGTTTCCGAACGACCCGAATATACGTGTATAGGTATAGGTATGCCCTTAAATCTTCGTTCTAGCATTCCCAACCCCCTGCAACTGAAAATTTTTAAATCCGATGGGAGCCAGGTACTCTGTTCCCGGGGTTTGCAGATCTCTGGAACACGAAACTCATCGTACAATCGGTTTTTCAAACAGAAACTACCCTCGTTTCCTTCCCTACCCCCTTGGTATATACATGGGAGAACGAGGAACGAATGTAAAAGTCTGCGTACATGTACCTCTTCCGTTTCGCCTCGTGTTTGTACTTGGTAGCGAGATCTCCTGCACCCTTTGGACCCCGCGTGTCCCAATAATCTTCTGACTCACCGTGGCCACGGTGTGTCTGGGTGTTTTAGGGGGTTCCTCCACCCGACACGACGCCGCGCGCGTTCGTACACGCCGTCGGCTTCGATCGACGCGCGAGGTCGAGAGGCTGAGAAAGAGCCACGAGATCGGGGCACCCCCTCGGGCTTGACTTCGCGCCTCGTTTCTCCGTCGACCTAATACCATCGAGATCGTGCGGAAAAGTAGTTGTAATTGCTCGCCGCGACCGGACGAACGTCGCCCTCCCTGATTCCTCCTGCGAGCTGTGTCGATCTTTTTTCAAACCCTCGAGCTATGCAATCCTCGCGGACGAGCAGGTAGCGGGGTGGCCGATGAGTTACAGTCCGATTCTGAACTGGACTCGTCGTAGACTAATAGGAGCCGGGTGGGACTGAAGCAGCGGATCGTTGAGCTCATTGGCTGGTCGCTGTTGGGAAAAGAAACTTAGCGATTAGGTTATAATATGGTCTACGGTTCTCGCGATGCCTAGGCTAGCATCGCTCTACGGTTGATTACGAATTTCTCGGAGTCTTTTTCTCGCAGAAATTCGTGTTAATTAGCGGTCCCATTTTAACGCGAGGCAACGAGGAAGATAATCAATCGGTTACTACAGGGATATAGATGTCGTAGGGTTGTAGCGTTTCATGTTTGCGCCTGAATTCATCAAATTGCCTCGGATTAATCTCTGGAGGGCCTCGAGCCGACGGAGGCCCCTGGGCTGTAGTCCGGAGTTGGACAGTGATTACTTTGCGATTAGATTAGTAATAATAGTCACTCACAATTGTCAGGCTAATCGGTAATTATAGGGTACGATTGTAATCTGCGATAATACATTAGCGGTTGCGTCGATGTAACTGGATGATACTTTTATACTTGACGAAATAAATCAAATACGTCTGTGCTAAATACTCTTGCACCAATTATTTTCTTTTCCGCGCCTCCGATCGGCCAACGGTCACGTGTCCAGGCGTCTTGGGTCACCGCTTGACCGCGAGTCGAAGCTTATCGACCGCTGCACCACCTAGAATCAAAAAACAATTCTCCCGTTACCAAAATACCGACACAATCAATCTCCTCCCGCCTCGTATGCATAAAAAATACTCGATAATACGCTTACCCCTGAACGCGCCGAACCCTCCTTCCAAAGGTCTCGATCACGTTCGATCATCGATCGTAATTACTCGATAATCTCGAGCGGTACAAATGAAATATTTCCAAAACACCGCTCCAACCCCTAAACCTCATGCCTTAACGCGGCCCTGAGCGCAGAGCGGGATGGAGAGGGGTTGGAAAACCGCCCGATGGAGGGGGTTGTCGCGGATGCTGCGCGGGATAGGGAAGGGTAGAGTACAGCGTCGAGGAGCCGAAAAGCGATCCAGGGGAATGTCGCGGAGAAAGAGAGTCGAAGCGGTTGGCAAGGGCATCGAGGATCGTTGGCGGAGTAGGGGTGAGGGGCGAGGAGGGGGAATGCGAAGGGTAGAATCGAGGCGAAGGTGGCGAAGCTCCCCGGACGAGGACGGCAAAAAGGAAGATGGCGGTTCTGGCGACACTTTTCTGGCCCCGAGTACAGCGGCCCCTGGCTCTCTGGTACCGCGGAACGCGTTCTCCATCCCCCGTTAACGTCCCGTTAGGTTGGTACGCCCTTCCTCGGCGTTCGAACGAGGGCGAAACCTACTCGACGTTGATCGACGCGCCGCGGCTCCGCGTTTCCGACGAGCAGAAAGAATTCAGCCTGCGAGTTGCTTCCCTTTCGAGGAACGGAAACGGATACAACGGTTAAGGGTAGGGGCAGCGGAGGAGTGTGAGGGCGTGTGTATATGTGTGTGTGTGTGTGTGCGTGTGTGTGTAGAAAGAGACGGAGAAAGGGAGACGACGGCAGAGCGCGCGCAAGCTTTCTCCCTGCAAAAGAGATCCACCGGTGATTACGACTACCGTGGATGCACGCGTCGGAGGGAGACGGGTAGTTCGAGAGAGAAGCGCAGGGCGCGTTAGGGGCAGGGGTGGACCACGCCATGGGGTTTAGGGGGCGCGTAGATTAAGCGAAAAGTTGAACGACGACGAATTAAGGTTCGAACTCCCTGTACAGTTTGTTCCGAGAAAGGGAAGAAATATTGTACCGCGATGGGTGGCATCCCTGTTTGTTCGAAGTAATCTTCCTCGTCCGCCCTGCTCGCTGGATCCAGCATCTCCTAACCGTTACACAACAACGAGGACGCCGTGTAAACAGCGTACATAGCGACGTATATAGCGAACGCGTCGAAAAAGCCTACCTTTGACCTTGGTAACTCGAAAACGTTTCCCCCAATTGGCAACGTTTGCCATTCGCGGCAACAGTTTCCTTTCCCGACGATTCTTCCAGCCCACAGGCGCTAACGAACGCGTCAAACATCGTCGAAACGCCGGGCAAACACGCAATACCCATAGCCCAGGGGTCCACGGGAGCCTAATCCGACGCTGGTTAGGGGAGAGCCGGCGATAGTTCCCGATGGAAGGGACGAGAGAAAAGCTCGAGGGTGAAAAGTAGCGCGAAACGAACGGTGGAGCGAGACGACGCGAACCAGGCCGACTCGGTGGGGATCGAGCATCCACGTCGGAAGGGATGATACCGAAGGGGAGTCACGGGGCGCGCGCGTGTGTGCGTGGTGCCATGCGTGTGGAGTCACGCGCGCGCGCGCGTTCGAGTTGGAAAGACAGAAAGGCCTAGGAGAGCGAAGGCGCACCGAAGTTTCCGTCGTCTCTCGAAGAGGGACTCTCGGTACGTTCGCTGTCCGATCAGCGCGCAGTTGCTGGTGCGCGGCTACGGGGTCGGTGTTACCGTGTCACGCGGCACGACCCCAAAAAGTGTGTATGTGCGTGGCGTGCGTACGGTGCCGTGGCCTGACTGCCCGTCCGCGTTGCGGGACACCCTCGTTCGCGGGACGATTAAACGCGGGAGCCGTGCCCCGGTGATAAGGGGCGACGGGAACGCGTCGGAGAGCGTACTGGGGTAGGAAGCGAGAAGCGGGGGAAAGCCGAAGGGGGACGTAGCCGAAAAAGGGAATTATTCGACTCGTCGCGGAGGCACCACGGTCCGAGAAAAGTGGATTCGTCGAGAGAGAGGGTCTCTCCTTGGAACGTCGCGAACGCCGCCCTGTCCCTCTCCTTCTATTCCGCGACGGCGGCACAACTCCTCCCTCGCACATCCGCGACGGAGACTCCTCTAACGGTGCGGCTCGGCCAGGATTTTCCGACGGGATGCTGCGCTAACAGCGGCTACTACGCGTAGCGGAGGAGCTGACGCGCGCGCGTGTCGAAACACCTCGGGGCCCTGGGCTCGCGCGGGACGAAGCCACTCCGCGCGTGCAAACCTTTCTCTGCGACGCGAGAGAGTGAGTCGACGCGTCGCGACGCGACGAGACGCGATCCCGAAGGTGCGCCACCGTCGGGAGAGAACTGGGCGCCACGAGGAGCACCCACTAGCTGGTCGAAGCTGGATAGAAGCTCGCGGAGAGATTGTCCGGGCATCGAGCGAGCGGAGCGTAGCGCGTCGAGCAACGGGATCGTACGAGAGCGATCATCCGTCGCGGTGTGTCTGCTCGCAACGTATTCGAGTGGGATCGTCGAAGTTAATCGGAGGAAAAGGTCCATTCGAGGGACAGGGGACGTCGGTTTCGCTGGCACGAGTCGTTCCATCGGTGGGACGAGAGCTATCGAATCGGTGAACAGTGGTGAGGAACGAGAGATCAAACGGTCTCGTCGCCGTCTATCGTCCGGAGAGTCGCCGTCACGGAGTAGAGGAGCCGTGCGCGCGCTCGGCGGCGCGCGCTCGCGCGCGTGCTCTCCCGCGCGGATCCTGGTGCGCGTTACCATCTCCGAGGGTAGCGCTATAACCTCACTTTCGCTTCCGTGGAAGGAATTCGCCGTCCTCCGGTGCTGGGAAGCCTCGAGAAAACCTAGAAGAAGAAAGGTGCGAGTCAGTAATCGTACGCTTGGCGAGGATCAAAACTCGTGGTGGATCGAGAGGAGCGTTTAGGGTGCTCGTCCGTTAGTCGAGGAGGAAAATAGGTAGATTTGCAACGGGGTCACCAACGGAAGGTTAGGTGGAACGGTGTCGCGGAAGGTGGGTACTCGCGGCTACCCGTGGGTGGCAAGCTAGGGGGTGTGTCCATGAAGTCGACGAAATGGCAACCAACGAGCGTAACAACGTTGCCGGTGCCCCGTAGACGGTCAACGTCGTACACGTCACGGTTGGCACGGTGGGACGCGTTGCCGTGTCGCCGGCAAGCGTGATCATCGATGACGACCAGGAGGTGCGAAGCAACGGGCGAACAGCAGGGCGTTTAGGATGCAGCATGAACCTCGGTGCCCCGTATCGGGAGCTGGTGAGCTTCGGAAGGGTGACTACGGTGTCCTGGTGCTTTCGCCGGTCGAGAGGTCTCAGGTCTCCGTTGTCCTCGGCACGGACAGTGTCGGCGTCGTCGTCACCGCCGCTGCCGGCGCAGCAGCAACAGCAGCAACAACAACGGCGGCAGCTGTCGTCTTGCTCGCCGTCGTCGGTGTCCTGGTGGTCGTTCTGCTCGAGAGCTGCCGTGCCTGGCGTGGTCGCTGCGCCGCGACGTTGTCGGAAGTGGCGGCCACCTGGCAGGAGAGGGACCACCGCGAGCGGTTCGTCGCGAGGAGGAACGAGAGGGAACGGGATCGAGATCATCGGGATCGTCGACGCCGGGAGAGCGAAACCTCGGGCGTGCGGGACAGCACGGTGCTTGCGGTGCAGGTGGCGCAGCAGAAGGAAGAGGCGAAAGCGTCGAAACCTCGTTGGCGGAGGAGGCAGTGGCACGAGGGTCTCGAGTGCGTCGAGTGCGCGGTCACGGAGTTGTTGTTGCCGCTGCTGTCATTGCCGCGCGGGTTCGCGCTCGGTGTCGGTTCCGTCGCGTTCGGGCTCGCGATTCATCGGGACTACCGAGGAGAAGATCGTCGAGAAGACCGCCTGCTCCAGGGGGACTACTAAGGGCCCCGCCAACGACCCGGGCCGCTCGGACGGCTGTCGCCTGGCTATCGGCACCGGGACATCTACGAGCGGGGCTGACGCTATTTACGAGCCGTCTCGAAAGGAGGATCATCGTCCCGATCGTCCGCGGGAGGCGCCCGACGGACGACCCATCGCGGTACAACCTCGAGTGCCACGAGCCACGAGCCGTCGGGGCAACCGTCTGCCCCTGGCGACTTACCGAACGAATCTCGCGACTCGCGGTACGGAACTGTTCGAGCCCGCGGCGAGTCTCGAGTGCATCATCCAGTGTGCCGAGTGCAGGATCGCAGGGAGAATCGAGAGGAGAAAGATCGTCGCAGAATCGGGGAGGATCGAGAGGCATAAGCGCGGGACGAGAAGCGGCTTCGAGCTTTGGTGGCAGCGATGCGGGACCTCCTGCAACCAGACGACGAGCACGCACGCGATCGCAGCAGGGATCAGTCGCGCCAGTCCGCGAATACGGATCGTCAACGGCCACGGTACCGGCGGAAGAGTTACGCGCAAAGTGCAGCAGACGAGGACGAGGAAGAGGAGGAGGAGGCTGGACCACGTCGCGGGTCTACGACGTGGATCGTCGACCGGGACGACCACCAGGACGAACGGGGGACGCTAGCGTTCCCGAGCTCGTGCCCATGCGGCTCGCGCCGCCCGGATTCACGGGACCACCCACGTCGAACGACCAGAGCAACGGGAACGACGATCGTACGTCCACGAGCTTGCCTTTCGAGCTTTCTACGCGCGATCCCTTGCGTACCCGCGGCCTCGAGAATGATCCCGGCTGGCAGCAGCCGTCGCGAAAGGGATCGCGTCGTCGCTGGTCCTGTAATCGGCTCGAGTCGGTACGGGACGGGCCTGAAATCGGAAACGCCACTGCCTTTAACGTCTCGCACGGTTACGTTACCCGTCGCGCGCTACCAAACCACGACCACGGTGCTCGCGATCGTTCCGCGTCGCGCGGATCGAGGCCGCGGTCCTCCCACGGCAAGAAGGCGAGAACAAGATGGAAACGAGACACGGAACTCGTCGATCGCTCTCGGATTCCTATCGCGAACGCCACAAACGTTACCGCTGTCGCCGCGTTCGCTTACACTGCCTACAACGACGCCGAGAACGCCGACGGGGACACCGACGTCTCGAGGACCACCGCGTCGCCTCCTCACCGCCGCGGCCCTCGCGATAAGGACAACTCTCGAGGGGAGCCGATACGTCGCGATACGGAGTTACGCGGACGTTCCCGTCGAGGCACGCGTGCTGGAACCACGAATCGCGACTACACTGCCCGGTTCCAGGAGCCGATCGCCAACAGGGGACGACGACCCGAGCTGCGAGCGACGAGCGGACCAACGAGGCTGTCCAATTCGCACGGTAGAAAGTACGGGTTGCTCTTCGTCTTGTATCTGCTGGCTTGGCCTCTGGTGTCTTCGACGAATCCCTCCGGACAATTCGCCACGGGGTTCGCTCAGAGTCCATCCCTCGGTCCCCTCGAGACTTTGCCGCGGCGCAACGTCACGCAAATCACGCCTCAGCAGCAGCAGCAGCAGCAGCAACAGCACGGCCGCGATTTCGGCGACGACGACGGGCATCGTCGTCGTGCTCGCCACGAGGAAAAACAGCAGCAAGATCAACGGGAGACGGAGCTGGAAGAATCGTTGTCGTATCAAGATCAGCAGGCGTTCATCGACACCGAGACGACGCATCCTTACAACGAATACAGCTGGGAGGTGAACCAAGTGAATCCTTGGTTATCGGCCTGCGACCTGGCGGGACCAGCGCCGGCCGATCTTCAGGGTAGCTGCGGTCCACCCGAGGTGCCCAAGAATTGCCCGTCACCCTGCGCGGTCACCGCTGGGGGAAAGGGCACGGACGTGTTTCAGCAGGTGATCGAGAAGGTCGAGGTCACCGAGGGGAGGCCCTGGTCGGTTGACGAGAACGGGAAACGTTTCAACGTTGGAACGAAGACGGGACACGCTCGTGGGATGCCCGAGGGCGTACGGACGGCTCCGGAACAGTGCCTTTTTTATCTCGAGGAGTCGCATAAGAGGGACATCTGTCGGGATGATTTTGGCCGGAGCAGTACGCGAAGTTTTTTAACCCCGAGGGAGAATCGATATTGGTTCATGAGCGGGTTGCGTCTGCGGCACTGCTGCGAGCACGCGGTGGTCAACGCCCTGGCACCCGGCAAGGGCGGTCCGCTCGAGAACGTGCTAAATGGTGGCCAGAAGTGCGCCGATGCCCTGGACAAGCTGTTGCTCGTCGATGCGTTAGCCGCGAGATTACATTGTGAGTTCGAGGAAGTGCTGGCGCGTTACGACTGCGCTCAGCCCTATTCGGTCATCTTCAACTGCACCCATTGCAAGGTAAGCCACCGATCATGTTGTTATTCTTGCGTGCCGAGCAAAAGGGTGACGCGAGAGTTCCGTGGGAAATATTTACAGATGTAGCGCCGCCTGCAAAGATGGGGTTCGCGCGGCTCTGTTTACCTTGCGTTAATTGAAATCGGCCGGGGGCCTCTGCAACTCAGTATTCGTACGTAACTTCGGCCGGGGGAGGTATTCTATCTATTTTAGTTGCGCCTTTGTACGTGGAGACCATCCGAACCCGGAAATTCGGATTTACACGAAATTTTGCGCGATTGTGGACCTAATGAAGTATGAAATTCGAGACGTAATTAACCTTCCTTTTTCGCGTTGAGAAACTAGCAGATACTGTAATCATTCGTTGCTTCTCCTTCTGGTTATTATTATTCCAAATCCATCTCCGATACCTGAAATCAAACCAAAAGTATGAAATTCACTGTCAGAGGTGAAGTGTTTGTGTAAAGTGTCATTAAAATGTTTAGATTCTGAGTACTTTCTATACTGTTTGTTTATAAGGGAACGAATGAGGTGGACGCGTTGAATTTAGCGATAATACGTGTAAAACTGTGAGACACAATATACCTCAATTTTTCTGGTCGAGAAACTAGCAGATACTATAGTCATTCATTGCTCTCCATCCTCCTCTTATACTATTCCAAACCCATCTCCGATACCTAAAATCAAACCAAAAATTAGTCAGCAAAAACAATCACCGAAATACATAAAAGTAATACTGCAAGTCCTGCAATATCCTACGAAGTTCAGTAACGCTGCGAGAGACAAAGTTTGTAAGCCGAACGAAAAATTCGCGGACTCGAGTTTATTAAATAATTTTGTCCAGACTTCGGGGGTTATAGAATGCGTCTGTAAATTTTCCGACGGTGCTACCGCGCCACCTTGTATAGTTTAATGAAAAATGTCGGGGGAAACGAGATGCGTTTCTGGACCCCCGATAAACCGCGACGAATGATCCACCCTTTATCGAGGTAGAAAAATAGAGAAAAATGAAGGCGCCTTGGCACCAACAGCTCCGTGGGATGTGCTTTCTCGTGAAAAAAGTAAATCGAGAATGTAGGATGGGAGAATCGATTTTGGAGATACCTGACGTGGCAGGGGTGCGACGAGGGCGTCTGACCATTCCTCGTTATTTCTACTTTCAGGAACATTCTGAGCATTCGACGTACACGTAATTGGTATTTTACCATGTAACTCGATTAGATAATCGAGAATGAGATATAGAATGTGCACGCAGCTAACCAGAACAAATTGAAACGGGTAATTCCATGTGACCAGTAATGTTTACTGACGCAAGTAGAAACAACGAGCAATGGTCAGACACGTTCGCCAAGTCGCATGGAAGACACAAGAATTTTCGAAATTGATTTTCCTTGAGGCAAATCCCTCTTGTAACGACATTTTCGCTTTTCAAGTGATTCCTATAAATAAATAAATAAATAAAGATACTACTGCAGTTTCTTTGCTCTGTATTGCATCTCGGTTTCCACAGCTCTCTAAAAGTTCTCGGATCGTTTTTCTCCATCCCAAGTGGACTCTTTTTCTTTTTTTTTTTTTATCAAGTTTCGAAGTCATTCGAACGCCAAAAGAGAACGGTGCAGATCTTCGGTCGGTTAACTGCGCTTTAATGGCGAAACGAGGCGAACTCGAGGGAACCTGATACAAGACGTCGATTCGTCGCAATTTCCTCAACCACTTGTCCACCTAGCCGCCCCTTCCGCGCGACATCGACGTTATTATCGAGTTTGAATAGTTTCCGCGACGCGTTTCACCGAGTTGTAACTCCCGTTTATGCGATACGCTTACACCCGGTGTATTAATAAACGAGCGCGTCTCCGGATCGACCAAAACTTCCCTTACGTGGTTCTGCTCGGAAACTATGTTTCCCTACGATTTCGTACCGTAACCAAAGCAGTGCGAGAACGACATGGAAATAAATAAATAAAGCTGGCGTGGCCCTCGAAGGTCCAACGGTAATCGGATTATTAAAAAGAAAAAACTTGTTGAAAATGGAAAGAGTACGAGCTTCGCTATTTCGAAGTAATTTTGTTAAAAATCCCACCGAAGCGATTTCACGCCGTGCTCGAGCGGTTTTCACGAGTGGTCCAGACCCCCTCCTCTCGAGGGCCGACGGTCGTGTTCGATGGAAGCGGCGATTCCTTCGGAATTAACTGTGTAAACGAGGTATTGTTTCGCGGGGGATGCACTCGGTTCAGCGAGAAAAATTCCCGCAAAACTCGAACGAAGGGGAACGGGTGGGAAACGATCTGGTAGCCACGCTCGAATCGGAATCAACCCCTTTGTTTCGAGATCTTGTCGCATTGCACTTGGCAAGCGTGGCGACTTAGCGCCCGCGTGCAGGATGCGCCCCACCCAGTGAACGACCTCTTCTGCAATCAGGGCTAATAAGCGTTTCGGCTAGAAAGCCCCTGCAATTAGGAACGGATTCAATTTGTTCCTCGCGCTCCTCTTTTTACCCCTGAACACCCTCGCGCTCCCCTCGGGGGATCGTTTTTTAAAGAGACTTGGCAGAGCATTGCGCTTTTTTGTGAGGGAAGACCGACTCCTCGACGCTCCAAATAAATCGTAACTATTTATGTAAAATTACAACGAAGCCATCGCGTGAATCGCCACGGGAGCCTTAATTCTTCGAATAACCAACAATGGATCGTTTTTTAAAGAGACTTGATAGAGCGCCGCGCTTTAACCGGGAGGGAAGACCGACTCCTCGACGCTCCAAGTAAATCGTAATTATTTATATAAAATTACGACGAAGCCATCGCGTGAATTACATGGAGCCTCGATTCTCCGAATGACCAACAACGGATCGCGTGGTCCCCTCGTTAGGCTAGGGTTAAGGGTGAACCGCCTCGATTCTCACTCTTCATTAAATCTGATCGGGCCTTTGACAGCCAATCAAAGGGGTGAAAGGTTGCCTTTTGCTCTTTCAAATTTCAATCACTGCCCGGGCTTGCAACAACGTCGGAACCTGAAATCCGATACTTTCGCACGGCGAGCAAAATTTTCGGCATGGCGTTCTATTTATAGATAAACAAGGGTGTTACAAAGGTCATCGTTTTTTTTTTTTAGCTTACTTTCACTCTCGAAAAGAATTTAATGTTTTCCTTTTTTAAATTATGCTTTGCCGTAGCTGGATGTTTCGAAGGTCATTAATTTTGAATTTACTTTTACTTTTGGAAAGAATTGCAAAGACTTTCGATTTTAAGATTCCTTGTTTAATTACATTTTGCGTAGCTAGATGCTTCGAAGACCGTTATTTTTCAATTTACTTTTACCTTCGGAAAGAATTGTAGAGACTTTCGATTCTTGAGGTCCTTTTGTTTAATTATGTTTCACGTAGACGTCAACCATTAACGAGCATGGTTATAAGACCGTCTATCTTTCTCAGAAATCCTATTATAAGCCGATTCTGCGCGTCGCCATCTTAAAACATGAGAAAATTACGATGTAGACTATAGACGCCGGAGGATTGGGATCGCTGTGGCGTATTAGCCGCTGCCGATATATACCGGGTGGCGGTCGTGTCTATCGGTTATCGAACCGAACGGATAGTCGAAGGCTAGTCTCGTTACTTGCTAATTTAACGGCAACTTTCATTGACCTAGTGAAACATCGACGGAGGAATTGCTCGCCTTTGGGCAAATTATTTAACGGAATTTACTTCGAACTCAGTCGTGTTATAATCTATTAAACTGATTTTCAATTTCCAGTCAGTCCCATAAATATTCGTACCCCTGCATGTCCATCGAAGAAATTTGTTTGAAGAAACATGTGCGTATAAATATGTTGGTGTTCATATATATAAGGTTATCCATATACGTATTTATAATGAAGAATGCATTTGGTAACAACAAAACTACTATTTCATTTAGTCAAACTTCCTCAACGGAAATAGACGGTACTAATATGTCGATGTTCGTATATAAGGTTATTCATACACGTATTTATGATGAAAAATGCATTTGGTAACAACAAAACAATTATTTACTTTAGTCAAACTTCCTCGACAGACTCAGAGGGTACGAATATTTATGTGTAGACCGGGGATCTTTATGCAAAATAAAAATTCGGCAAACGTACCTACAAAAATTGAACCTAAACAGGAATAAATTATTTCGCTCTGCAAATATTATAATATGAACTTTTCTCTCAATATTGTTTATATTCTTGCACACTCGAATTCCCTATAAATTCATAAAAATCCGCGATCTATTCATGCAATTGACCGTCAGTAATAATAATAAACCCCCAATTTAAATTTCTATTCTGCTTCTCGACCGTGGAATGTTTTCAGAATTGAAAAGTAATTGGTATTTCACGAACAGGTTAAGAGTCCAGCTAGGTGATAGAATTTTCCAGCCTTTTTTTCTTTTTTTGACGCAAGTATATCCCGGCATACTTAATTCGGCGGAAGATGGCCGTCGGAGAAATCCCGTATACGATGGCTGATCGTTTCGGATCACTGTACCGTCGAGGCTTCGAGTGTTAAGGGTTTTCGAGAGGATCGCGCGGACAGAAATTTGCGGAAGAAGAGCCGCGAGACCGATGCCAACTCGGCCGAGGTATCGATTTAAACGATTAGCAGAGCCATCCGTTTGCCTCGTTTCCGGCTCGAGAGATAATGCCGAATTCAGATTCTGCGTTTTGTTCCCGCATACCGCGCGATCCTCGATGCGGGATTCCCATTCGCTCGCACTGGATCACGCTGCGCTTCTTTGAGGTATGGGTCATGGAACAACGTGCGGGGTGTATTTAAATACGAGTTTGAATTTAAAATAGAGTAAATATTTAACACGTTCACGCCGGCGTGTACCACCGGTGGCTCACGATCGCGTGTCTATCAGATGGCGTGTAGTACAGCGCCGTCCCATGGCGAGAAACACGAATAGCAGCGCCGTCGTGAACGTGTTGAGTTCATTTTTGGAATTGCAGCGTACATATAGTCGGTGACATAAGTATTCGTA